GTTAATATATTCCCCTTTAGGCAACTATACATTATAGTTCAACTTACACTAAAATAAACTTAAGTCTAAATTTACCTAATAAAGCTTAATTATTGTGCACACAATAGAGACAAATCATACCAGTCTGTAGATCCATAAACCAGAGCATAAAATTAATTTTTATGAAAGTAGAAAGCCTAAATTATAACATAGAAGGATGAAGTTTACTTTGGGCATTTAGCTCTGCAGTTTGTTAGTATTTAGGACTATGCAGCCTTTTTTTTCTAATCTCATTTTTATTTTTTTAATTCTAAATTAAAATCTTTCTGTTAAGCAAACACAAAACTATTATTTTCTTTATATATATCAAAAAATAGTTTACTTTTCTTAGTAAGCACAGAGCATTGTTTCCAAAACATCTATGAAATCTTCTATAATTATAAGACGATTACAAAGACCTAGAACCAATTTCTACCATCAATTTTTGAAACTCTAGCAGTGATTCTCTACTGTTTTGTTATGTTCCACTTTAAAGCAGTAGAGTTTAGGGCAGCACATTTGAAGAAATGCTGTACTTCAGTTCTCACATATTTTTTGCTGCCTGGACCATGCACTCTTAGATACTATTAAAAAAAAAAGTTGTCATGTATACCAAAGAACACAAACTTTTTCTGGTTCCAACTTGCCTTTAGACTAAGACTTCCACTAGCAGGCTGCATCAAATTCTATACCACATCCAGAACGTCGCAGCTCAGCAAGTAAGAATCTAACAGGTAACACTGTCCAGTTTAAATCCTCAGTTACAGTAAAAGTTTTTACGCAACAATGAAAATTTAGTAGTAAATGTAATGATGGGTTCTTGATCTGGCTGCATGTCAGTACAAAGAAATACACCAGCAAAGAAGCATATAAAATTCTAACGCTTATTCTAATCACTAACATGATATTTAGAGGGGCACCTGGGTGGCTCAGTGGGTTAAGCCTCCGCCTTTAGCTCAGGTCATGATCCCAGGGTCCAGGGATTGAGACCCACATCGGGCTCCTTGCTCGGCGGGGAGCCTGCTTCTCCCTCTGCCTCTGCCTGCCATTCTGTCTGCCTGTGCTCGCTCTCTCTCTCTCTGACAAATAAATAAAATCTTAAAAAAAAAAAAAAAAAGGACCTGAAATTAGTAGAATTCATGGTTCTCATTTCTTATCTCCTACTAGAATGTCCTACCTGTCAAGAATTTTAAGAGAACAAAGGGTCAAGATAATAGATATATTACTACCTCTCTTGACACTGCCACAATTCAAATGCTTAATTAAACCCACAATATAAATTTGAGACAAATATAAATATAGGTCACTGACTTCAAAACATGCCTTTGAGGTACATATGATAAAAACCGTTTTATGGTGAAACACTGCGATTAAACTATTGTAACCAAGCTTTCCCAGTTTCTACTATCCTAAGCAAGAGCCAAGAGAGATTCATGTTACATTCCATACTGAAGTGATTTTATCACTGGGAGGACCCAGTGTGTGGTGAAGTAACAGAACACTTCAAAAGAGAGGCATGAAGTCTAGAGGCAGCTAGTAGGGGTCAGGCTTAAGATTCAGTGATGATGGTGCTGTGTATATGGGGGGGCGGGAGAACACTAACACAAGAAGTCTGTCACAAATCCATACCCCATACTCCAATGACAAATTATGAACCAGTGACAGAGGCATCATGTAAACACTGAACTGATCTCCAAGTGAGTCTGGTTCACGCTTTCCAATTTTTGTTAACTTCTGGATTTCTTAAAGCTAAGAGGACAGTAAGACCTAAATTAAAGTAAGAATTACTATTAACATCATATATTACATTAGGGCTGGAGGTAAGAATTTTCAAAGAATATCTAATTAATATGGTCATTTTTATAAGACAAAATAACAATATTCATTAGAACATCAGTGATAGAAGAACTTCTCAAAAACAATGTTCAAATTTCAATTCTCAAAAAAAGCCATAAAAATGTCTCTAAATCAGCTATGGCAAAGTTTTGAAAAAGCAGTGAAAATTTGGTGGTTAACAAAAAAAGAATGTTTACAAGTAGCTGTGCACTGCGAATTAGAGTCTTTACAGAATGGAAAGTACTACTGAAATAAAAACGGATTTATCTAAGTATATCTGCACGTTCTGCCATTGTGGTCATGATGGCTTCTCCTTGTCTTGGGAAACTGCTCAAGCACGAAACTGAATTTTTTTTTACAACTAAGTGTGAGAACTGTCAAAGGGAAACAAAAATAACTATTAGACATGCTAATCTATTAATTGCACAACTCCATTTAATGGTTTGTTTAATTTCATAGTAATATTAAGATGTAACCTTAATAGAGAGTTCTGTTTCAGTTCAACTCCATAAATTTTTAATTGCTTTTATTTAATTTATTTGTTTGAGAGAGAATGAGAGAAACAGAGAGAGCATGAGAGGGGGTAGGGTCAGAGGCAGAAGCAGAAGCAGACTCCCTACTAGGCAGGGAGCCAGATGCGATGCAGGATTCGATCCCGGGACTCCAGGATCATGACCTGAGTTGAAGGTAGTTGCTTAACCAACTGAGCCACTCACGTTCTGTCTGACTTTTATTTAGAGCTAAGTATGAAGACATAGTCTTTAGAGAATCTCAGTCTGGTGTCCTTAAGCAGAAACATAAACAATAGTAATATTATGTAACTTCCAGCTAAAAATCATTTGTATTAAGTTGAAGAAAAGGGAGTTAATCTTTTGACAACAGTTAACGAAAAGAGAATTTATCTTTCCTTTGAAGAAATAATTACCAGTCCCCTGAGCACCTGAAAATATGACACAGTCTATACACATAAACTAATATTTAAAAGTTTTTGCAATCAGTACATTTTCACTGCATGAAGATTAAACAGTAAATACCCATTTAGACAAGAAACACTTGATTAAAAGTTTGTGAAATGGCCAACAAATTTGCAAAATGTATAACTAAATAAAAAGTTGTAAAAGTAATCTTATGAAACACAATTAAAGTTGAAGACTTCCTGAAGCCATGTTATAATTTAACAATTACAAAAGGGAATTAACTTTTTTCCTACTAAAGTGAATATAAGTATTGTAATCATCATTTTTTTGGCACAATTACTGTTTTGGTACTACGTCTTCCACAAAAACTATCTATGTAGGGGCACCTGGGTGGCTCAGTGGGTTAAGTCTCTGCCTTTGGCTCAGGTCATGATCTCAGGGTCCTGGGATCGTGCCCCCCATCCGGCTCTCTGCTTAGCAGGAAGCCTGCTTCCCACCCCCCCTCCACACCTCCCTCCCGACTTGTGATCTCTCTGTCAAGTAAATAAAATCTTTATTTAAAAAAAAAAAAAAAAGTATCTATGTACCCACCTATCCCAGTTCTGTTTACTGCCTACTACAGCATCCTCTATTCTTATTTTTCTAGATCTCTATTTAAAATATTATTCACACAATATATGCAAAGTTGCATTAATATTGGTCCTGCAAATTTGTCAGAAGTACCCCTCCAATTTTCAAAGAGACCCCAATCCTGGAGTTATGAATAAGAGAAGAGCTGGTACACCTGGACTGTGGTGATTTCACATAAGACAGCTGACTCTTGAACACCAGGGTTTGAATTGTATGGGTCCACTTGTATGCAATTTTTTTTTTCAATAAATGCAGTACAGTCCTGTAAACTTATTTTCTCTTCCCTATGATTTTCTTAACATCTTCTTTGCTCTAGGTTACTTTATTATAAGAATGTAATACATAATACACATATCATATAAACTGTGTTAACTGTTTATGTTATCAGTAAGGCTCCTGGTCAACAGGCTATTAGCTAAGTTTCTGAAGAGTCAAAAGTTAAAACGGATTACGACTGCATGCTTCTAAACCCCTGTTGTTCAAGGGTTTAACTGTAGTTTTATAAACTCTTTTAACCCAGACACCTGCACTGACCATATTTTTACCCTGTAGTAAATGTGTCAACTCAAGTTGGCAAAGTGTAGCCAGTCAATACTAAGTATCTGTAAACCCTAAGTGTCCACAAATTCTTGTTTTGATTTTTTAAATTTAAAGGTAGCGTATTAAATCTTTTCTTTCTTAAAGATCTAAACTTGTCTGGTAAAGTAAACTTAAAGGAAAAAAAAATACAAAGAAAAACCCACACCATTACTGTTAGAAGAAACCCAAATGGTAAATTTATTGTCAGAATCACTCCTTTCACTATCTTTTCCGAACATCACTTCCTTTTTACTACTTCCCCCAGCCGTTCCGGCAAATCAGTGTTCAACACCGCCCCAGATTCTTAAAAGGATCCACTGTCCACAAACGAGAAAGCCCCACAATCCAAGCGTATTACCCTAGTGATCTTCGGCGCTTTCAAAGACACCTGTGAAAATGCCAAAGCCTTGAATTAGATCCCCAAGGGCTCCTTTTCTTTCTTGACCCCATTTCTCTTTTTCTGGCCCTTCAAGTCAGACGACTTCCTATCCGACAGCCCCTCCCTCTTCCAATCAAACCTAAATCCTTCTAATTAGCAAGCCAACCCACCCACCCTGAGGTCAGCTACCTCTTCTGTCACAACCCCGTCCCGTCTCCCTCGCCAGGCTGTAATACCCACCTGGCGGCTCCCGATCCCTCGCCCCCATCGCCAAATCCCAGAGCATCCCTTCCTCCGGCCCCGCATTCCCGCGGGACCCCCTGAATCGGCTTCCCCCACTACTCGGCTTCCAAAACCCTCCAAGCCCTTGCCTCTTCAAAGCCACCCCTCCCTCAGGTCTCCCACTACCCTCGCCCCTCAGCCTCCTGCCATCTTCAACCCCCTCAAGGCCCTCGGCTCAACAGCCTCCATTTCCCACAGATTCCATTCTAGAGCAGACTCTCCCGGGTCCCTCAACCGTCTCCTGTGGCCCCCTTCGGACCCCAGTCTTCGGCAGCCCGTCTCCGCCCCTGACTCCCAACTCATCCTCCACGGCGGGCGCCCCCCAAACTCCCCTCTCCTCAGGGATTGCTTCCGCTCACCTCCGCGGTGCGAGTCGGGCTCCCCTGACCCACCTCCGAGTCGGCGTCCGAATCGCCGTCGGAGTCCCGGGCCCTCCGGGCCTCGCGGGAGTGAAGCGCCTCGAGCGGCGGAGGCGGAGCCCGGGGCGGTGAGCTGGAGTGGAGGCGGGGGCGGTGGCGGCAGCGCGCAGGCATCGCTTCGGCTCGTCTCTGCCTCTCCCGCAGCCGCTGGAGTCCGAACCGGAACTGCTTCGGGAGGAGGGGCCCTACGGGCGTGAGGCGTAGCCCTACGGGCGTGAGGCGGGGCGCTACCGGCGGGGGCGGGGCCCAAACCGGAAGGGTCGCGGGATTCAAGATGGGCGAGGGAAGCAAAACCGCAGCAAAGAAGCCCGAGAGCGCATGCGTCAGCCCCAAGGCCAAAGTGGGAGAAAATAAAGGGTTGGTGAAGAAGCGGGGGCGCTTATGAGATTAGTAGATGAAGTTTGGGAGCAAGAAGAGCTTGCCTAATTCCTTTGGAGGGAGCCAGCATCTCCCCAAGAGTCAGCATCCAATGATCATTGTTACTATTTATTGCCCCTTTACTTTCTGACAGCCCTTATTCCACATGCCATATAAATCTCACTTAAAATCTTTGTGCCAACTCTGCAGGGTGTTAAAACACAGAAGGACTGAGTAACCTGTTTGAGGTACCGCAATTAATATGTTCTAAAGCCAGTATTCCTACTTAAATCTGTCTACCTTCGGAACCTGTGCTCCTCTTCATTATCAGAAAGTCCCTAACCCAGGCCTAGAATTGGCATAAGCCAAATCCCAAACCATCTGTGACCTGGGCTCCATCCCCTCCTTGACCTTCTTTCTTATCAAGTGCAGAGCAGACTTTGATGGCTCTGATGGGGTGGAGACAGGTTCTAGGGTGAACATGACTGCATACTTCTCCCACTGGATCCCTGATGTAGCCTTTACCCTCAAGCTGGGCTCGCGGCTGGAAGCCTTCCCACTGCAGCTCATATGCCTTCCAACCTGTCAGGGCCTTCACGAAGTCACCTGAGAGCAGGCACGTTTTCTTACCTCTTCTGCCGGTAACAGGCTCTGACAAAAGGCCAGATATATAGACCTTTCACAGTTTCCTTTGTGGGGACAAAAGCCGTTGTAAGCAGGAGAATCTCCCTCCCACCCCAAAAATGTTTCTGATGACAGTCCCTTTGGATCCTCAGGTTTAAGGCAACATTCACTTCCCTTCTTCCCACTTTGATATACACGGCCCATTTCAGCCTTCTCTTTTGAGAAATCATTTATTTTCATTATAGAACCATTGTTCAAACCTTCCCCCACAAACCCTGTGAGCACCCTTTAGATGAAGGGTGGTCCTCTCCATATTTCTCTGACCCTACAATGTAGGAAACTTCCCCTCAGCCTCATAATCCTGAAGCTCACTCAGCAGCCATATGGCTCCTACCCAGTTTTTGGCCCACCCAGACCTGCAGAGCTTTTTAAAAAATCCATTCATTGTTGAAACCAACCACCCTCTCTCCACCCTGGATCTCCACTTTAACTCAGTTTTCAGACTAAATAGCCTTATTCAGGACCTTAAGGCTATTAGTTCAACAAATGTTTCTTAGGCATCTACTATGTGTTAAACAGAGAATATCCTTTCTTTCATTTAATCCTCATATTTCTTTGAGGTAGATGTAATTTTCCTTACTTTACAGATAAAGAAACTGAGGAAGAAATTTAAGTGACTTGCCTAGATATGACTGATTCCATATTGTCATGGAGTTTGAGGTTAAGGGGGTGACTTGGGGGAAAAAATGTTCTGTTCTTTCTGGAGGCCTCTGTGACTTGCTGAGTCACTTGCTTCTGTCCCACCTGTCCCTGCCAATCTCCGGGAAGGAGAAATGACACTGGAGAGGCAGAGAGGAGTAACCGCAGAGACAGAGGGGTGGGTGGGCTGGCCTGGCCCATGGCTGAAGCCTCTGTCCCAGTGCTGAGGGGAGAGGAAGCCACGCCTTGCCCCAGCGTTCTGGAACTGGAGGAGCTCCTGAGGGCAGGGAAGGTTTCTTGCAGCCACGTGGATGAAGTTTGGCCCAACCTTTACATAGGAGATGCGTGAGTGGTAGCTGATTGAAGGGGTATGGGGAAGGGGACAAGGAGAGACAGTTCTTGGGCTCTTTATCAGCAATGGGAGCTGGGTGGAAGAAGGAGAAATAGTTCTGCTCTGCACATCCCAGGCCAGGGACTTACTCCAGGACCCCAGGGTGCTGGGAACAATGCAGTGATCAGATGTGACCACCAGAGGGAGCAGGGCCTTTGTCTGCCTGGATGACGGGAGCTCCCAGAGGATCCTGAAGTCTTCTGATATATCCAGGATAATTGGTGTGTCAGGGGGCAGAGGCCTGGGGAATGGTGCTTTCGGGTATGACATGGGATAGATAGAGAGTTCCCCTTCCTGGTTCCAGCCTCCCTCCTCTGGACACAGAGTGGGTGAGAAAGGTGAATCAGGGAAGATGTCACCACTGAATTTGCAAATTAGCAGCAGGTATGAGGTAGTGTCCAGGAGGGGGCAGATGTGGATGGGGAGACATGGGGCAGGAAAGGAGGGGCAGCTGGATTCCAGGGCTGAAGCAATTCTTTCCTTCCTGTCTTGGCAAAGGCAGGAGCAGATGGCCTCAGGAAGCACAGAGGGTCTAAAGATAACCCTGTATGCCACTAACTCTTCCACCAGACAGCTCTAAGGTTGGGGCTCAAGCCTACTGGGTTCCTTGTGGCTCCCTTTGGACCTTTATGACTTTGTCCCTCTGAAGCGGGGGGGGGGGGGGGACAGAAAAAAACTCCTTCCTGGACTCCGTGGCTTAGCCAGGATCCAGCCCTATTCCTCCCCTTCCTAGGGCCACGGCAAATAACCGCTTTGAGCTATGGAAGCTGGGCATTACCCATGTGCTGAACGCAGCCCACGGGGGCCTCTACTGTCAGGGTAGCCCTGACTTCTACGGCAGCAGTGTGAGTTACCTGGGGGTACCGGCCCACGACCTCCCCAGTTTCGACATCAGTGCCTACTTCTCCTCAGCCGCCGACTTCATCCACCGTGCTCTCAGCACACCTGGGGGTAGGACTTGGGTCTGAACCCATATCCCATCCTGCTAACTCATGGGGGGCGATGTCCAGTTTCTGCTCAAATATCAGTGTCTATAATCCCTGCCCCCGGGTTAGCCAGTATCCCTCTCTGGATGTCAGTTTCTCATCTGCCTGACGGGAAAGGCAAAACTATGTCTCACTGCACTTTTTTTGATACCCAGAGCGCTCTGACATTCATTTGTTCGACATCCTATTCATATCCTCTCTGTTTATTATCTATTCTGTGCCAGGCACTGAGCTAGATACTGAATCCACACTTAGACAAGGCAGAGTTCCTGCTCTTATGGAACTTGTCATTATGCTTTGTGGAAAGACAGTCAAAATTATGAGTACTATTCATATGAACGGGTAAATGTGAAGTGATCTAGGAGAACAGGAACAGGGCAAGGGCGTTCAATCCAGGGGACCAGGGAAGTGAGGGGCCCATCCCCTACAACAGGATTCACTGGGCCATGTGCAAAAAGGTTGAGCTGCTCTGTGATTCAGGTGATGCTGTGAATGGTCAGGAAAGACTACACAGGGAAATGATGTCTTAGCCGAAACCAGTCAGATGAGTAATCGACATTAGTCAGACCAGGAACAGGAGAAGTTTTAGAGGTAGTTGGCATAACGTGTGCTAAGGCTGGAGGCCGGAGGCCAGAGGCCAGCACAGCTTTGAGGAACTGAAGGTGACTCAGTGTTCCTCAGGGTGAAGGTCACGGTGAGGCAGCCTGAGGTGAAGCTGTAGGGTCAGCAGGGGCCAATCCAGCTCATGGAGGGTCTTGTAAGCCACGTTAAGGAGTTTGGACCCTATACCCAGGGCACGCTGATTAGGTATTGGTATACCCATTGGACAGATCAGGAAACTGAGAACCATAGAGGCTGAACAGTTTGCCCAGGGTTACAGATGTACCCAAGGCAGAATAGGGGAAGGCATGTGAGTCTCTACCCCTGCTCCTGGGTGGGCCAGCAGGCGGGAAAGCGTCTTTCACCAGGATGTCTTCCTCAGCCAAGGTCCTGGTGCACTGTGTGGTTGGGGTGAGCCGCTCGGCCACGCTGGTCCTGGCCTACCTCATGCTGTGCCAGCAGCTGTCCCTGCGCCAGGCAGTGATCACCGTGAGGCAACACCGATGGGTCTTCCCCAACCGAGGCTTCCTCCACCAGCTCTGCCAGCTGGACCAGCAGCTGCGGGGCACAGGCCGGAACTGAGGGGCCAGGTGAGGGCTGAGCAGGACATGTGGTGGGGGGCAGGATGGGTGCAATTAGAAGTGAGAGGTCAGGTAAGGGCTGCACAAGGAATGTGGCAGGAAAGGCCAGTGGGGGCTGGCAGGGGTCGGGACCCAACTACAGTTCTGGGGGGCCAGTGCGGCCGCAGCTGTCACTCTATGCTTAGTTATTTTCAGGCCAGCCCTGCATCTCCTTCTCACAGTGGGGAGGGAGAACTGGGGCTCCTGCCACCACCCGTGGCCTCCTCACATGAGCCCTGCTTGATACACAGTTCTCCTGTCATCTCGCCCTTCCCTTCCCTTCCTTTCCCTGTCTTGGGCTCAGTACCCCACTCCCTACTTGCCCTCCCCCAATCAGTCTGATCTCAGAGATCCACAGAAGGAGCTTCCCTACCTTTGCTCCCTCTCTGGTTTTCGGGATCCCTGTGGGACATAAAGGTCTTCCAGAAAGTCTATCCAGCTCCTTTCTGCTTCCGTTGACTCCCTGCCCGGCAGCTCCGTGTGCAAAGGCATTTGGAGAATTAGCAGTCAGTCCTTAACTTGCGTATGAGGAACAGATCCTCAACACCTCCTCTCCACTAGGTTTCCCCATTCCTGTTGGAGGCCCCAGTGTCCCCAGCTGCCTAGGAGAAGGAGTTGGGCTCCCCCTGCAGCCACGCTGCTGCTCAGGCTTCCAGACCACAAATGCACACCGAGTGCTGCTTCAATCTCCTTGGCACCAGCCCTGTGAAAAGTTCTCCTCCAGCTCAGCTGGGAGGAGACAGGGGTGTTTCTTCCTGCGGTAATTCCTGGTGCAGGGAGCAGCATTGTGAGGGAGCCACAGTGTCCACAGCCCTTCCTCTCCCACCATGCCCAGGCTGGGTCTGTTCTTATCTGTCTCCAATAGCCCACCTTCCTCTCATTCACATCCCCGCTGAGGGCCATGGGCTGGGGAGTTAAGCCCCAAGGCTGCTTTCCACTGGCCCTAGCCCACCTCTAGCTCCTACCCATGCTGTTCCTTCCCTCATCTGTCCTCAGCCCTGACTTGGGCTGTGTGCCCCACCACCCCTCTGGCTCAGAGGGTCTGCCAGCTTGGGGTGGATGACTGGCCTAGGCTCTCTTGGGAGTTGGGAAAGTGGCAGGTTTCTCCTGCCAGGCGTGGATTGAATTTCCCCCTGCCGGGCCCCCCACCAAAAGCTGTTTTTGTCTCTGAATGCATAACCAGCGCCACTAAGGGGGAGCACTTTAGCACTCTGCCCCCTCCCTGACACTGGCAGGAGGGTGAGCATCTTGGGGGTGGGGATTAGGGCAGGATGGAGAGCTAGGTTTAGAGTTTGGGATGAGTGTAATGGGAGAAATCAGGGTTATAGCTGGGTTTGGGATTAGGCCCAGGGCTGAGCTGGGTGGGAAACTGTTGTGGGGAGCTCTGCAGGTATGGGGAGCCAAGAAAGAGACAGGAATGGCATCCTGCTCTCTCCTCTGAACCGGTTTCAGGAAACTGGTAGAACAGCAGATCTCTGATTATGCCCAGTTGCCCCACTTCCTTGGCCTGGAGCCCTTAAATACCCTGACCTCAAGCCTCAGCTTCTTTCCCATCAGGCAGCTGGCTTTGGGGAAGTCAGTCAGGCTGCAGCATTGCACAGTTCCTGGAGGAGCCATCCACCAAACAGCCGATGCAACTGGGGCCCCAGGAGTTATACAGTGTGCAGCCTATGCAGCCATACACCACAGACCTAGGGACTCTGAAAGATGATGGGAAGAGGTCATGTCTCTCCATGAGCTCTGGACCCCAAATTTGGTTTATCTCTATCGGCATCCATACCCACCTGACCTTACACAGAGGGTTCAAGGCAGAGACAGGTTAGGTGGCAGGTCTTGCCCCTTCCTTTACATGTCCCAGCTGATCTGGGCCTTGGGTTGATAACATGGAGCTCATCTCTCCCCCAGAGCTGGTCCTTTCTCCCTGCCACAGGGCTGGGCCACTTTGTTTCCCTGGCACTGGCCCTGTTGGTGCTGCTGGAAGCTCTGGCCCAGGTGGAGACCAAGAAGATGGTAAGAACCTAGTGTGCAGTCTGCCGTAGAGCATGCTACCCCATCTGCTTCCTCCTGCTGCCTGTGCTCCGTGTTGGCTACTGTCTTCAGTCCCCTCAGGTGGGAATTCTCTGCCTTCTCAGCCAACCCCTGAGGCTCCTCTGTCTGGGACTCCAAGTTCCCTGGGCTATGAGGCTGGGAGGAGAACAGGAGGGGATTCTAGGTGTTTGTGATAGCCCTTGGCCACAGCTGCCTCCCCCCAGGACTCTGGGAACCCCAGCAGGTGCTGAGCCCTAGCTCCCTGGAGTTCAGACTTCAGAGACCCCTTGTAGGTGTGGCTGCAGGTAGGCAGAGGTCTGTGTGTGTCTCAGGCATCTGGGAGTGTGAGTGAAGAAGAGTACTGAAGTATATGAGTATATGGGGAGGGTCTCTGGAGAGCAGGAAGGGATCTTAACAGGCCCAAATCCAAGGTCCCTAACTGACCTCAGTGGCCTTGGAAAGGACGAAACAGACCATCTGACTGGTCTCAAGAGACAGTGAGGTCTGGGTTAGGAAGGCCTTCTGGGGCAGGGAGGAGCCTGGCAGAGGGCACAGTGGCTCTAGACACACAGCTTCTGACTTCAGGCTGGGGCAGGTCTAAAGGCCTGCTCTGAACCTCACCTTCACCTTTGTAAGGGTACACCCACTTTCCTCAGCCCGAGTCTTCTAGATCTGAATCCTGGGCTAGTCCTATAGTTCTCAGCTCCCAGCTAAGCACCCCCGGGCCTGGGTTCTAATGTTGGCATTGCTGCCCGTTTGTGTGTGGTTTGGGCTAGTCTTTTTTCTGTCCTCCTCCATGGAAGATCCTTCCCGCTCTAACCTTCTGCCCATGCTTCCCACCACCCTTGAAGGCTAAGGGAGCTTTGAAAAGGGCTTGGTGGGTCTTCCTTGTCCCTGTCCCACAATCAACATATGCATTGACCACAAGCAGACCCCTGTGGGCTGCCTCTGCCCCCGGCAAGGCCAGGTGCCTGGCTGGGCTTGGCACAGACCATGCCAGGGACCAGTGCGTGAGTTGGGAGTGTCGGGGGAGGCCAGAAGAGGGGAGCAGCACATCATGCTTTATAATTAAACTCAAATCAAAAAATAGCAACAGCATCAAGTGTGCGGAGACAGGGAGCTGGAAGCAGACAGCACAAAGTGCCCGTCAGAGAAGACCACAGCCGGGGCCAGATACCCCCACAGGTGGGTGAGTGCCCCTATCTTGGGGCCACAGAGCATGCTGGGTCATGAGGGCCAGGGCACCTGGGCTTGTGGGTGTTGTGGAGGGACTGGGTTAGACTGGAGGACAGACTGGGTTAGAGACAGAGGCACAGACAAAGCAAGGTAGAGTCAGAAAGACGTGGTCTTGAATCCCGGATCCCATGCTAATTGGCTGTATGAAATTGAACATATTACTTAGTCGCTCTGAGCCTCAGTTTCCTCATCTGTAAAATGGGGATGATAATATTTGCTGCTTCATAAGGGCACTGTGAGGATCCAATGAGAAAATGTAAGCATTTAGCTCTGTCTGGTACCTTAGTAGCTTAGTAGATCCTTAGTAAGTGGTGAATATAATTACAATTATTGCTGGACAGAGAAACAAACCTCAAGAGACACAAAGAGACAGAGACTAAGCCTCAGTGTCCTGTGGGAAGAAATGGCTGAGGCTCGAAGAAATAATAACAATAATAATTATTATTATACTAAAAGGGTAATAACAATAGTAATGATAATAATAGTAAGCTGTACCTTTTGGGGGGGCATCTATCCTAAGATAGGCCTGTGGAAGGGGCCTTCCTTTTAGTATCTCATGAAATTCTTACAGTAGCCTGTGAAGGAACTGGCTCAGCAAGAACCACAAATACCAGGCCTGAGAACTCTGCCCAGATCTGTCCTCCCAGGCCTGCAACCTGTACGCAGAGCCCCACTGGCCAGTCACCATCAGCTGCCCACCTGCCACTTGCCCCGAGGCGTCCTTCACCAGACTCCTCATGTCCTGCCCTGAGATGCCTGGCCTCCACTGTCCTTGGCCACTATCCCATCTGCTTGGGGAGGAGGTGGGAGAAGCAGAGACTGGCTAGGAGGGAAGGCCAGTGGGAACATCTGGAGGTTCAGCTGAGGAGGTGGCTGGCCATGGCTGCCCCCTTGCCCTGAGGAGGTCTGGGCCTGGGCCTGAGGCCACGGGCATGCAGCGTGGGGTGGCAGAGCACTGTGGCGGAGCACGAACTCCTGTGAGAGGCTGCGGAGAGCCACATGGAGAGGAGGGACACACACAAAGACAGAAAACAAGGGCCTAACCTCGTAAACAGTGGCAGCCCAGGAGCCGTGAAGCCACTGCCTAGGGAGGCAGCTGTTGGGCTCAGGGAGAAGGCGCAGGAAGGAGGCAGAATGAGGGCCAGAGAGGAGGAGGAGAAGAGCCGGGCCTGGCCTGTCTCTACGAAATGCTGGGCCCCGTGCTTCGCTCTGCGGTGGCTGGTGGCGGAGGAGATGTCGGGGGAGGAGTCAGGCCAGCTCTGGGGGCAGCAGAAACCAGGGGAGCTGCTGCAGCCACAGACTTCCCTTCCTTGGCTATGTCTGGAGCTTGGAGGATGAGTCCTTGGGCAGGGGGGTGGGCCCCAGTGGGACAAAGCAGACAGGTGTGGGGGTACATCCGTGAGCTTCAGGTGTGCGGCTCTAGGTGGAACCAAACAAAGAATACCCCTAAGTCCAAGGAAAAAGCCCCATTTCCAGACTTGGACCTAAGGCCCCTCAGAAGCTGAAACATGGGATGTGGCCTAGCAGCCCCCAATCTTTGGTGCCTATGCTGTGTCCTTCTCTTCCCAGGAGCCCCTGGGACCCGCTGTGTCTCAGCCAGACCCAGGCGGCCGGCTCCCCGGGCACAGCTGGGCTGCAATGCGCCCACTGGCCACAGGGTGGCGGCCACACCCCACGCCAAGCTCAGAGGCTGGGGTACGTCTCCCCGGCTTCCCAGAGCTCCATCCAAGCCCACCTGCGGCTCACTCACCCCCAGCCTTTGGCTCCACAGGAGTGTGGCTGTTGGCCAAGCCTGGGGCCTGGGCTTTCCCCAGCCCCAACACACTCCACTGCTCCCTACCCTGTGGTTACCACAAACCCAGCCACTGCTCTCCCTCTGAGGTCAGACATCCCCCCTCCCCACCCAGGGAATCCTAAAAAAGCAAGGCCAGGATCTCGCACAAGAAAAAGACAGGCCATGGCCCAGACAGGAGCAAAGACTTGCTGGAGGCCACAGAATGAGTTACGGCCACTCTCTCTTCCCTCCCTCCAAAGTTCTCTTTCTACCACTTCAGTTAGCCTCCCATGTCCAAGGGGAGTTCCAGGGCCAAGGGCCTTCGTCCCAGAGATGCCAAGCAGAGAGGGGCCTGGGAGTTTGGAAGGATTGCACTTCAGTCCACAGCGGCCAAGGTCTGCACTCAGACCCCACCCCCACCGGCTCCAAGAGAAGGACCTGGAATTCTAGCCACTTCACAGCATTTGTGTTCTGGGCGGAACCCGCTGTGGCCGGGTTCCGCTTGGGTGCTGAGTCCCGTCCCTGTACCCACTCCCCCATTCCCGGCCCCAGGCCATGCCCTAGGTAGGTGGCAGGCCACTCAGCCTGCCCTGAGAGGTGACAGTGGGAGATGAGGGGGAAAGCCGGGTCTTCACTTCCACCCTGCCCACCAGCTGCCCACTGGGTGAGCTTGGCCAAGCCGGTGGCCTCCTGGGTGCCCGTTTCTCTTCCCGGTCCTATCACTGCCTACCCAAGAGAAAAGATGTTCTTCCCAGTTTGTACCTTCCCTAGTTACTGGCTGAGGGGGCCAGGGACGATTAGCCAAGATAGGCACTCCTTCCCAGCTCCGCACCAGCCCCAGGTGCTGGTGCCACTGACATCCCAGCTCTGCAGGGGCCCGGACATCCTCAGACAACCGACTCCTGACACAAGCCATCCCACCTGGGTGAGGCCTGACCTGCAGCACTGGCCTGAGTCATGGGGGTAAGGAGGAATGTCCCAGGGCCTAGAGGTAGAGGTGTGACAGCAGCACCAGGCTCCTCTGAAGAGACAGATGGAGTAGTGACCCTCTCTGGAGTTCCCAGAGGTGGCAGCCGGAAGGCTTGGGGCACAACCGGACTGAAACCCCAGCCTTGCTCCCTATTAGCCACACAGCTTTGGGTATCACTTAAAACATTCGTCTGAGTGAGGCCTCAGGCTCTTACGAGGCGTCAGCTTACTTCGTATGGAGATGCTAACAAATGCCATTTCATGAGATGGACTCTGTCCTTCAAGCACCCAAAGCTGGGAGGGACTAGGGACCTCAGGAGCGGACTTGGAAATAGCAGAGGAGGGGGCCTGAGGTGAGCTGCCAGGTGTGAGGGCCTTCCTAAGTGCACCTCTGAGGTCCCCATCCCTACAAAGTCCCAAGTGTCAGTGACTTAAGGGGGAGTTGCTACCGACAAGGAACTCCAATGGCTCCTTGGGCAAAGCTTCCTACATCCGGGACCTCTGGAAAGGGCAGAAGAGACCTTCCCAGCTCCACAGCAGTGACAACGGATTGATTCTCTTGTTCTCTGGGGAAAAGGAACTAGGTCTCAGCCCCAGCTGAGCTGGTTAATAACCTCATCCAAAATAGCTGAGGCCCTTCCTGCCACATCCCAGTGCCTGGGCCCCGCACCGTGCCTGGGCCTCCCCTTCAGCCGGACCCACTGGTGGGGATCCTGCCCCCAACCACCACAGTGTCCACTCTGTTTCAGGATGGACTCACTGCAGAAGCAAGATCTCCGGAGGCCCAAGATCCACGGGGCGGTCCGGGGATCCCCCTACCAGCCGCCCACACTGGCCTACCTCCAGCGCTTGCTGTGGGTCCGTCGGGCCGCCATGCTGAGCCACATCAATGAGGTCTGGCCCAACCTCTTCCTAGGAGATGCGTAAGTATAACCCCTGGCAGGAGGTGGAGGGAATAGAAGGGAAGCCTCTCCGGAGACTTGCAGAGGCAGAGGGAGCACTGTCTTTGCCTCCCACCATCTCTTTCCACACGTCCCTATCCTTTTATGTTATTAATTTTTTTTAAGATTTTATTCATTTATTTGACAGAGATCACAAGTAGGCAGAGCGGCAGGCAGAGAGAGAGGGAGGAAGCAGGCTCCCCGCCGAGCAGAGAGCCTGATTCGGGGCTCGATCCCAGGACCCCGGGATCATGACCCAAGCCAAAGGCAGAGACTCTAACCCACTGAGCCACCCAGACGCCCCTTATATTATTAATTTTAATTAATGTTATTAATTTTAACTGTGGAAATAGAACACACATAAGAAAAGTACATATAGGACATACGAACTGTTTGACCATCCATGTTAAGAAACAGGACATTCCGTATGCCTCAAAAGTAACTGACCCTTCTCAGCATAACTCCCTCCCCTGTAGATGACTACTAAGTATTGAAATAATCTCCTTGCTTTTCTTTATAATTTCAACACTCATATACCTAACAATGTGGTTTTGCTTGTCTTTTAAAGCTATATGAATGGAATCATTTTGTGTGCATTTTGTGCCTGATTTTATTTGCTCAATATTGTCAGGTTCACCCATGTTCTATGCAGCTGTGGCTTTCTCATTTTTCATCTCTGTATACTATTCATTTGTATGACTATACCATAGCTTATCCATTTGGTCGTATATGGACATTTGAGTTGTTTTGACTTTTTGGCTATTGTGAAGAGTGATCCTAGGAATGGTCTAGTACATGGGTCCTGGGGGCACACACGCAGGTTTCTCTAGGGTGTACAGTTATAAAGAAAGAATTGTGAGTCATTTTCCCAAAAGTTTTCCTAAAATTTGAAACCTATGGATCAATATATGGATTTTAGAAATTATCTTTAATATTTAGAAAATATGTTCAGTATCTTGTTAATAATATGGCAAGTATGCTACCCCCCACCAGGTAACCAGTAATAAAATCCTTGTTGACTTTTAAAAAAATGCATACACATCTATGTACATAAATGCCTTTTCACTTTTTTTTTTTTTTTTTTTTTTACAAAAAAGATACCTCTTTCTAGTCCCATTTTGTAATCTGCTTTAGGTAGAAAGCTTTTGAAATGGAACCACGTAACATCTTTCAAAAATATTTTTAAACAGTGTTCTGTATGGTATCCTGCATTTTCCACAGGTTCTCAATATAGCACAGACACCTTTCCTCCTTTACCTGCAACTGTAACATTTTAAGTGTTGCCAAGTATTTCATTTAGCTATACCACACTCAGTCTCCTGTTACAGGATATATAGTGATTTCTTCCAATTTTTCACTATCTTGAATGTCATTAGATCCACTTTTGGGGACACATTTTGGATTTTTTTTCTCTAAGTTCCTAGAAGGGGACTTGCTGAGGGAACGTACGTATATATTTCGTGTATTTTTAAGGCTTTTGATGCATGGGGCCAAACTGCACTTGACCAGAGTGAAAGAGTCTTGAACTTCAACTAGAGGAGCCCCTTCACTCAGGCCTGTTCACTCTTTCCAGTCTCACACTTGGAGGAGGATGGCAGAGGAGGGAAGGGGATAAGTCCAGCCAGAGGGGACCCGATGAGACCTGCCCCTCCTCTCAACTCCCCCATGCCTTCCCTCTAGATATGCAGCCAGGGACAAGAGCAAGCTGGTCCAGCTGGGCATCACCCATGTCGTGAATGTTGCTGCAGGCAAGTTTCAAGTGGACACAGGTGCCAAGTTTTACCGTGGAATGCACTTGGAGTACTATGGCATTGAGGCTGATGACAACCCCTTCTTCGACCTCAGTGTCTACTTTCTACCTGTTGCTCGATACATCCGAACTGCCCTCAGTGTTCCCCAGGGTGAGCTGCTGGGAAAGGCATGGGGAGGTGGGGGGTGGGGTGGTGATGGTTGTGGTGGTGGTGGTGGTGGTGGTGGTGGAAATCTGGGGCTCTTTTCCCAGTAGCATTGCTGGGTTGGGTGTCCAGAGTTACAAACCACTTCAACAACCTTCCCACCCCATGGAGCAATGAGCTACTACCATTTAGTGAGTGTCCCCTTCAGGGAACCAACAATCACAGACGTAGCTAAGGTCCAGTGTGGTTGTCCCTGGAACCATATCCCTCAATAAGTGTGTTGAGCAGAAGGTACAGGGCCTAGCAAAGGCTGAGCAGGCCCTTCTAAGATGAGGCTTTGGCAAACGGTTACAGGGACAGGGAAAGAACTGGCGGGAAGGGGAGGTAGGTGGACACCCCTGTCATCTGCCACAAATCCAGGGAACTCCAGAAATACAGTATCCCCTCCCACCCTGCCAGAGTTGCAAAGGATTCCAGAGGAAGCACATTGGACCTGGAGAAGGGAATCCCCCCTGTTAACTTGCTGTGTGACCTTGAGCCAGTCCCTTTCCCTGTCTAGCCTCAGCTGCCCCATCTGACTGTGAGAACACTGTCAGTATTCTGGGGTGCTGTGACAGGTGGGCTGAGGCTGGCAGAAGTATCTTCACTTCCCAGTGGGGTGGTCAGTGCAAGGGCAGGTAGCTGACACTAGGCTGTGTCTTCCTGCAGGCCGTGTGCTGGTACACTGTGCTATGGGGGTGAGCCGCTCTGCTACAGTTGTCCTGGCCTTCCTTATGATCTGTGAGAACATGACCCTGGTGGAGGCCATCCAGACGGTGCAGGCCCACCGTGATATCTGCCCCAACTCGGGCTTCCTCCGGCAGCTCCAGGTTCTGGACAACCGACTGGGGCGGGAGACAGGGCGACTCTGACTAGGTGAGCAGCCGGGAGCCCTGACCCTCTAGCCAGCATGGCCTAACCCAGCCAGCCTGGCCCTGGGGACAGCAGCCTCTGCTGTTTCCAAAGACCTTGAGGTATAAATAGCAAGTGGGGGTTTAGCTGAGGCAGAAGCAGGGAGAACTGAGTGGTGACCTTTAGCAGGTGGATTTCCCTGACCCAATCCAGAGATTCTTTATACAAAAGAGAGTTCAGTCTGTCTCTATAATAAAAGGTTCATCATAATAAAGACAGGAGGTCTTCTGGTGGTTTGTGGGGTGTGTCTTACTCCCAAGATGGTCATTTAGAGTCCAGAAGACTTGCCTGCTCTGAGTCAGCATAAGGGCAACCTACAGAAAGGGTCTGAGTCCGTGTCAAGTCTCCGTGGAGACGGAGGGCAGGTGAGGGTTAATCAGTGGTATCTGCCTCGGGTGCAAAAAGGAGGAAGAGGGTACAAGTGCTGAGAATTAGCTGGTCCTTTCTTCATTTTGTCCTCCATTGTAGCATCAGCCAAGAGCTAGGTTGTCGGAATCAAGACCGATGTTCAGTGCGTCAGCATCCTCTCCATGCCCACCCTAGCAAAAAGCAATCATCAGAACTTTTGCTGTGCAAGTCGCATCTCTTGAATATTTTCATCTATGCTTTACTTTAAAAAGGACTGACTCAAGTGAGAGGCATCTAGAAAACACAAGTGTTAACTGAGAGGATAGGGTCTGGGGAGGAGACAGCCCAGAAATCCCAGGCGAAGGATGGTTATATGATGCAGCAAAACGTTTCACTCTGAGTTTCTTAGTATTCATGCCCTAAAGGGGCGCCTGGGTGGCTCAGTGGGTTAAGCCACTGCCTTCGGCTCAGGTCATGATCTCAGGGTCCTGGAATCGAGCCCCGCATCGGGCTCTCTGCTCGGCAGGGAGCCTGCTTCCTCCTCTCTCTCTCTCTGCCTGCCTCTCTGCCTACTTGTGATCTCTCCCTCTCTGTGTCAAATAAATAAAAAAAATCTTAAAACAAATAAAATAAAACAATGTAAAAAGCTCCCAGTCTTCTCGCTGCTTCCTCTTCACCCCTGAAGAGTTCCCACCCTGCTGGGGGCGGGGGGGATCCTCTTGCCCCCACAGCCTCAGTTCACATCTCCAGGTCAATGACTCTTAGACCCCCGCCGCGGCAGCCGGATTCTCTCCCCTGAGTTTCAAACCTCTGTATCCCACTGCCTACCTCTATTTGAATATTGCACTTGAACTTCAAACTCAGCTGCACTTTTCATCAGCCCCATCCCACTAGCTGAATTCTTCCTACTTCTTCATTTGAATGAAGAGTTCTGACAGCCATTATTGTTCAAGTCAGTGACAGGTGGTGCCTTGGACACTTGCCTCTCAGACAGGGGTGATTCTATGTGATTCTACCTCCTCAGTACCCCTTGGGTCTGCTCACCTGGCTTCATCTTTGTTGTGAGTACCCAGCTTCGAGTCACCCTCACCTCTCCCCTGGACCTTGGATCACCAGTAGCAGCCCACTGTTGGTCTCTCTGCCTCCAGCCTTGCCCATCCAGGTCTCCATGCAGACGTCTTACCAAAACGAAAATCCAATCACGTCACTACTCTGCTTACAACTCCCTAAGTACAAACACCTTGATAAAGTATAAAGATGCTTCGTTATCTGAGAACCTTCTTGTATCTGTAGCCTTATCTCTTGTAATTCTGTTCCCATGCACACCGTGTAATTAAGAAATGGTAAATTCCCTTGCAGTTTCCAGAATGCACCGCATTCTCTTACCTCCGGTATTTTGCATAGGTTTCAGATCCTACCGCCCGAACGTACCACCCTCACCCATTTTCACTGGGGTCTCTGAGTCTCAGTTTAGCTCTCACTTCTGGGAAGTCCTTCTGGACCCTCTAAACCTGAGAGAAGGGCTCCTCCTCAGGCTGCAAAAATGTCCATCCACCTTTTGTGATGTCACCTGTCACTCTGAATCATAATTTGCTGGTGCCTCGTCGTTATCTTTCAAGTGGCTGTCTCCGATCAGGCTTCCCATGGTCTTAAGGTCCCCGTGGCTCCCATGTGACCCTGCCCTCAGGCGAAGCTCTGGAGTCGTGGGAACCACAGCTGCAGGTCGGCCCCCCACTGCCACGAGGCCTTCTCTACAGAGTTCGCCAGGCCACTGGATCCCTGCTGGCCCCAGGAGTGGGCCTGCCCCCAGGAGTGGGCCTGCCCCCAAGAGTGGGCCTGCCCCCGGAAGGCACCTCTTGCCGAGCTCCACCTGCACGCTTACCCCTGGGGCACCCTGACACCCTCTTCCCAGTCCATCTCGTTCTTCCCTGGCTGCCTTTGACACTTCCTCCTCACTCCACACCAGTGCTCTCTGGGGCCAGCTCTGCCTTTTGTGCAGACGGTCCTTGCCCTTCTCTGCCATCTGGTCTGTTTCCAGAAGACAGGTGCTTTTCCTTTGCATGAATCAAAAAAGGTGCCTCCTTGGAACACATCAGCCTTTCAGGCTTAATCACTGCTGGGCCTGGTGCAGGAAAAGGTGTCTCTTTCTTCCAAGCAGATGCAGCTCCAAGTCAGGGTGCCCATCTGAGTGAGCTGAGCCCAGGCTGTGCCCCCATTCCTCCTTCCACAGTTCATAAGCTATGCACACAGCTGCTGCCTTGTCTGATATGTAGGGATGAACATCCCTGTTTTGTCATCTAATGACCCAAGGCTCAGAGAAGATAAAATGAGGATGGAATGTGCCTCAGGGATACAGGATCTCTGGGCTCTGGCCTCAAAGGGAGAGTTCTGTCCAGCCAGCTCCCTGCTCTCCTTCCTACAGCACTTGGTCCTAATCCCAGCCGGTTGTCGGCTACCTCAGGTTCTCTCTGAGCCTTTTCCAAGGGTAAACAGTGTAGCTGGAGAACTGCAGAAGGGATGGTGTTGTGGTGCCCAAACAGGCAGGGCAGCTCTCTAAGCTGGGGATGGAAAACTGTTCTCAATTCATCCTCAGGTTGGGGGCGTCTAGTCTCCAGAATAGACAAAGCTAGTCCCTGCCCAATAGACCCGACTGCCCACCTCCAATTCCTCTGGATCCCCCCAGTGCCTGACAATTCAGCCCTTCTTGCTATTTTTTGCTCATGCACTGTCAGCGGGACCCAAAATAGTGGTTCCAGAAGTCGGTCTCTAAATCAACATCCGGGTCTATGAATGTGGGCAGCCTGTCCCTGCTGGCTGGGCTGGAGTGCTCAGAATCTAGGACAGAGCCACACCCTGGGGCTTGAATTTCAGCAGGTCACCTTCTTGGAGCTTTGAGGTTTGGGCTACAGGGAGAAGAGGAAAGGAAGCCTAAGAAGGCACGTGGTAGGAAGGCCAAACATTCCCCAGAGCGTCTGAGGAAACAGAGGTTGAGCTCGAGACTGGCATCTCCATCCAGAAGACTTCTTGCCTGCCATGCTTGCCCTGGGAAGTTTGCAATGGGGCGTCTGCTCCTGTCTTCTCTAGAGCAGCCTCGCAAAAGAAGCGGGGGTATTGTTAAGAGCATGACTTTGGAGCCAGATTACCTGGGCTCAAATTTATCTCTGCCCTTGACTTGAGGTGTGTGACCTTGGTGAGTCTCTCCATAACCCAGTTTCCTCATCTGTAACATGAGACTCACGAGAGCCAACATTCAAGATTATTGTAAGGATTACATAGGGATTACAGGAAGGGCTTTGTGCAACACGTGGAGAGCTTCCCAAGAGGAGAGCTGTGATTATTGTCACAAGTCCATGGGCCCCGGCATCATCTGTGGCACAGAACCCCATCTCGGATAAAAAGTTGGCGGTGCTCTCAGAGTGTGGAACGAATTATTAAAAATTAGCTGACCTAAATCCGACATCGTATTTTAGATTAGATTCTGAAACAGAAGAAGGATAGAAATAGGAAAACTGGTGAAATCTGAAAAAAAAAAAAAGTTTGTGGTTTGGTTAATAGTGTGACACCAGTTTTGATCTCTTTGATATATATGCTATAGTTATGTAAGAGGCTAATATTAGAGGCAGCTGGGAGGTGGGTATACAAGAAATGTCTCTATTAGTGTTATAACTCTGTAAATGTAAAATTATTTCAAAATAAAATGTTAAAAAAACAATTGCTGATAATTACAGACTGTCTTGCAAATGCCAAGCACTATGCTAAGTGTTTTAGAAACAACCCCCTCCCCGCTGCCATTTTATTTCTTGAGGAAAAAAAACAAATCAAATATAGCAAAATGTTAAGATTTGACCGTACTGAGTTGTGGAAATACAGGTGCTTGTTACATTTTTTTTTTTTTTTAGATTTATTTATTTGAGAGAAAGAGAGTGTGAAAACAGGGCAGAGGGGCAGAGGGAGAGGGAGAATCTCGAGTAGATTCCCCACTGAGCACAGAGCCTGACACAGGGCTTGATCTTATGACCCTGAGATCATGATCTGAGCTGAAACCAAGTGTTGGATGCTCAAGTGACTGAGCCCCCCAGTTACTCCTTCCTAAAATATTTCCTAATTTAAAAAGTCAAAAATAAATGGACTATCTTCTAAAATTAGAAACATCCTATTCTATATATTTAGGTTTTGAAATCCATATCAAATGGATTTTAGGAAATATTCTGAATTTAGATGATACCATTTTCATTGGTTTCTGGCCTACAATACCACAAATTCACATGTTATTCTTTTAAAAACCTTCAAGAGGCTTTATTATAGATAATTTTGTTTTAAGAAAAATGTGATGATGACCTGGTTTATAGTACGTCGTGTTTAGATGAAATAACTGTGATCAAAGAGGATCTAAGCCATTAAGTCAAACTACATATTATACATATCCCATCTTCATAATCCTATGGGATAAGTTGCTAATATCACCCTCATTTTATCGATGAGAACACAAGTGTAGAGAAGTTAGGCCAGAGAGCCTCTAACTTTAATTGAGAGTTTATTATATATTAGTGCACTAGTCAGGGTAGGTTCATGGCTCTGACAAGCCAAGTTTATTTCTCCCTTACAACACAGGTTGGTGGGGGCATGGAGGTTAGAGGAAGCAAGCGTGGAGGATGCAGAGGCCAGACATATCACATCCCCTCTAGTTCCCTGGGCAGAACTCAGTCACACGGTCACATCCATCTGCAGAGGAGGCTGGGAAATGTAATCCATCAGAGTGTCCAAGAAGAAGAGGAAATTGCAGATATTGATGATCATGAATAGGCTTTTATACACCAGTTGTTGATGAGACATATGTAATTACTTAATTCCCATAGGCCATAAGAAGTCGATATTGTTGTCTTATTTCCATCTTATAGTTGTGAAACTGAGGCTCAAAGAGTTTAAGCTTTCTCAAGGTCGCTTAACCAGCTGTGGTAGAATCATAATACACTTCCTGAACCTTCTTCATTTTGGGTTGGCCTTAGTGACTTGCTTGCCAGAAGAATTTGGAGCAGAAGTGGCATTCTGGGACTTCTGAAGCTGGGTCAGAAGATGCCTTATAACTTCTGCCTGGGTTTCTGGGAACACTCTGGGAGCCCTGAACCACCAGACACGAAGTCCTACTGCTCTCAGACCACCATGCTAGAGAGGCCATGAGTCCACAAACTGGTCAACGGAGTCTAGCCTTCCAGCCTCCCCTCCAAAGCACTAGATATTTCAATGAATCCATCGTGAACTCTCCAGACAAACATGTCTGGCAGCTAAATAGCACCAATTAACCTCCATCAGTGCCACATGGAACAGAAGAATATTCTATCTAAGCCATAAGGACCCATAAAATAATGTGATATAAGGACTACATTTTGGGGTTCTTTATTACATAAGAATCCATAACC